GTATTAGACTCGTTTATTTAAACTACTAGGGATATGAGATTGGTTTGGTCTTGTATTTTAAAAAAATTAAAATACTATTTTTTCTAAATTATGTATATATATATTAAATTAAAACGGGTATTAGGATATCCATCATAGCAACCGACAACTTAACAACTCCTCAACTTTTTAGTGCCGACAATTATAGATCAATTTTTATGTGTATTTTTTTTGGATAAGATCTGACATTCGATTTTTTTGGTTTTTTTTCGCTATTATACCAACACGACTTCTAGGATTTCAGTAATAGATTGAGTTGTTTTGTGTTATTGTGGACTACCGGCTCTGTTGCTCACGTTGCATCAGTCTCATAGCTTTGGGAGACAATTCTATGGTTGTCACAAGGGTTTTTTAGCTCGTTGCGGTTTCTTCCGATGAGCCGACAGTCCCGCAGGATACACTGACAGCAATGATGGAAATCTGATGTTTTTTCAGGTTAATAGTGCGGCTGAGGACAGAAGTAGTCAGAGTTTGAAAATGAATATTTTAATATTTCTCATTGTAGTTGTACTTATCTTTATTTTTTTTATTTTTTCTAGTACTCACGAGAGTGTGAGAACTGTATGTCATCTTTTAGAATTGATCTGTGATGACTTTATGCTTCTACACTACTGTACTATCAATAAGCTATTCTGCATAAGCTGCCCCAAACACTTTTACCATACATGGGTAGAAATGTCATTTATACAGCCATAATTACTAATAAACTATTCTGAATAAGTTGTCCCAAACAACAAACAAGCTTATTCTGGTAATCTGCAGATTATCAGATTATCAGAATAATCTGTTTATCAGCAGATTATAAAAAATCAACAGCAGCCCCAAACAGACTCTTACTCTCTACAATATGAATTACGAAAATTACACTTAAAAACAAGTTAAAAATTAGATGCAGTATAACAGTAAAAATTTGGATACAAAAATTTTTAATTCATTTTTTTTTTAAATTAGATGCAGTATAACGGTAAAAATTTGGATATAACACAGAATAACCATTTAACATAATAAAGTTCTTATAGGAAAGTAAGAATCAACAAACGTTGATTAAAAACTATTTTAGTTTAAATTCTAGGTAAATCTTGTTCCATCAAAGTTCATAAAATTTGACCGAACATTACAGTGGTAGAGGTCAGGGTTCAACAATCAATGGTTGAACCAAGATTAAATCGAGGGTTGAATCTGATGATGTCGTAAATATAAAAAATATTAAATGTATCTTACATGAAAACTTAGATGGAAAAAGGTCAACAAGGGAGAAACATAACTAAAAAAAATATGAAAGCATAAAAAAGAAAGATAATAGACTAATAGTAATGTATATTTTGCGAAATGTAAATAAGAACATGAAGGTGGAAATTCTTCGTGATTTTTAATAAAAATGTGGCATAAGATAAAAAATTACACATAAACCGGTTGACCTACTCGGCCTTCGGTTTCAGTCGGTTGATCGGTTCGACTTTTGATTTCAACTGATTCTTTTTGGTTCGATATGAAGCCAATTTTCAGTTCAACTAGAACCGGACCACTGTTCAGTTCACAATTGAATCAATTGAAACGGCCGGTTCAGTCAGTTTTTTAAACCTTTGTGTTTCATAAAAATCTCTAATTCATATCCATTTTTATAAAAAAATATTCCTCTGTATGATAACACTATGATTTTATTATGATATGTCATAAAAATGATTTGTTAAAATAATGATTTCAAACTTAAATTTACATTATTTGTGATATTTTAATTTAAAATAATAATATAATGATAGGATCATTTCTTTTAATTTTATTTGAATAGAAATTTTAAATTTTAAATTATTAACCCATTTTTTAAAATAAAATTTTATATGTTGAGATTGAGAGGAATGTTTAATAATTTTCTTTTAACTTCGTGTTACTTAACCTTTATGGTATTATAAGTGAGCTTTTTACCCTCTACGATATGAATTACCAAAATTATACTTAAAAATGAACTAAAGATTAGATGCAGGGTCTGTTTGGGGCAGCTATAGTTGATTAATAAGCTGTTGCATAATAGTTGTGGCGGGAAATTGCCTGCATAAGCAACTACAATTAAGTTGGCTCTTTGTTTGTTTTTTGTTGTTTGAAAATAGTTATGTTGCGTTATTTATAGACAAATGATCATTCTACCTCTGAATTGTAATGTTGTTTGCAACAAAAATGTTCATACAAGTACATTTCATACTTGAAAGCAAATATACATTACAAAATATTACAAAATATGGTTAAACACCTTGCTAAACAGTGAATATTGTGACTACCAAAATTAAGAAAATGACTATTAAAATAACAATTGATCATACGATAGCATTAGTTTAAAAATGCAGAATATGTAGGCAATGAGATAAGTTGTCATCCAGAGACACTCCACGCTCGATCACTCTAGGCGGTGGAATCTTCTAGTCCATCTGTGCACCTAAAATAGTCACATTTTTCTATGGTTCTACTTGGGCACCTGTAAAACTGTCTCCCGTTGCTATGTGGCTACCGCGAAATAAGCAATGAACATTGTAGTCCACAGTAGCAGTGCAATCCTCTGGAGGCACCAGAAATCCTTGAGTTCATCTTTTCAGAATGTTTAAAAACACATAAAAATTAATAACAGAAGTAATTAATTAAAGTTTTATTCAGTTATGCGGTCTCAAAGAACTCAATATAAAAATCAACGAATTTGTCGCTTCAAGAAGACAACAGTTCTTATAAAAATGGTTCTTAGTTATCTTTGACCCATGTAATACCAAGCTCGTATGTGTCACGTATGCATATCAATAAACAGATCATCTAGAAGAATCTAAAAAATAATAGCACTGAAAAATGAGAGGAGCTTAGTTGTCTTCATTAGAATTTCACATTTGACACCAACCAATAACAACATACATGCTATCTAGAAGAACACATAAGGTCAAATATTTCATCATAAACATCCAAAGGCACAAAAAAAGGTCGAGAATACCAAAATCCAAAAATCTACCGATATATTTCAAAGTCACTGCTCATGGAATTACAAACAAAGCAAAGAAAACCATATCCTAGAATCAAATATCAACATAAAGGCATTGTACATACACATTTCGAAAATAAAAAAAAACCACAACATAGTAAGGTAGAGAATATTGGAACTTAGTCAGAGCTAAACCTCAAAAACCACCGAACGAAGAGGAACCACCGTATAGAGGGCGGAGATAATGATCTAAACAGAGTCGAAGAACAACGAGAGGAGAGGGAGAGGGAGAGAGAAAGAGGCAGCATGTCACACCTTCCAATCATTAGAGAGAGGGATTAGGGCAAAGTAGCGAGAGAAAAAGGAAGCACCATGGGATCACAAGAGAGAGGCATTATGACAAGAATCACCAGAGAGAAAGAAATTTGCACGAGATTGAGAGGACATCCATGTCAAAAAAAAAATCAAAGGAACGTTCGTCGGTGATTTGAACCCGTGGTCACGTTTAACCACATATTTTTCGAAAACACCATCGTACCACAACATCCAAACACACTTTATTACACTTTTGCATTGCTCAAAATGGGCTAGCAGTGCAACTTATTGCCTTGAGTTCTTCGGCGGGAAAAGATCGCCGGAATATTCGGATTCGGCCGGTGGAGAGGATGAGGCGGACGGCGGCAGGGGAGGCGGTTGGTTTGGGGAAGGGGAGGTCCTCCTCCGGCTGTATGGAGGCGTGGAGGCACACGGGGACCATTTGTAGGGTTAGAGATTTGAAGCCCATTGATTCTTGATCATATGGAGGAGTTGCAGAGAAGTGAAATTGAGGGGAGGAGGGAGGAAGAAGATTGAGGAAGCTCGGGGGAGATGAAAGTTCTCGTCTATATATATATATATATAAAAGAAAATGTTTTTTTTTTGTAAAAATTTAAGAATAATAAAATTTTTGTTATGATAATCAAGATTTGAATGTTGTGGATATAAGTAAAAAAGAGTTTTTACCTTCATACTATTTAAAATCTTACAATTAATAAAATAAACACCTAAACTTTAAATATTTCAAAACAATCACCCAAAACCTAAAACTCCCTGTTTAAGCCTCACAGCTCCCCTCTTGTTCGCAATCTCCCTCCTGTTGGCAGTTGTTTCTCACTCCAGACGACCGTCTCCCTCAAGTGTTTGTTCAGACGTCTCCGTTCGCCTCCATTTATGTTGCCACAAACATCCCCCTCATGGTGGCTATGGGTGTAAACGAGAAGAACACGAACAAGCAAAGACTCAGCTCGTCATTTTAAAATATCATTGTCCTTGTTCGGCTCTTTTATATTTCGATCACAAAAAGTGTGCTCGTGTTCGACTCGTTTACTTAGAGAGGCAAACACGAGCTATTTACATACCATGAGTTGATTTGACAACCCTAATCACACAACCGTGGGCTGTTAAGAGTTAGGTTAAGATTTAAATCTTATTGTATATATTAAAACATCATTTAAACATAATTAAATACATTTAATTCTATTGTTTTAATTAATCATTTTAATTACTTATATATCTTTGTAGCTTTGTTATCAATTAAATTTTTTAAAAATTGAGCCTTATAATCAATTAAATTTTTTAAAAATTCTATTCATCATTATATATATAAATTTGATGAATAACATTCAAGCCAAAGCAAGTGGAACACGAACTAATCAATCTTTGTTCGTGTTCTTTATCAAAAAAAAAAAAAAAAAAAGTTATTGTTCGACTAATTAACTTAGCGAACGAATCTAATAAAATATGTTCATGAACAGACTAATTAACTTAGCGAACGAATCTAACAAAAGATGTTCACGAACAATGAGCTACTAGTGTTTGAAATAAAACCCTTAGATTTTTGAGGAGTTTTTTTTTGAAATATTTCAATTTTGAGTATTTAATTTTATTATTTCTTAATTTTTAAAGGGCGGGCAGGTAGGCAAATAAAAACCCGATATAAGGATTGTTTTAGATGCTAAGAACACAAATACCTCAGAAGATCCTCATCTGTTCCAAAATCACGGCGCTCTAGACTTCAAATACGCGGCGGCAGTCATCTCACCTCTAGCCCCTGCAACACCCATCCCAAGGTACTACTGGCTCCGGTGGGGAGATGTCAGACTCCTAACAGAGCGCTTAGCGAAGGCGGAGTTGCGACGGACTCATTAATTGGACAGTGAAGTTACGCTTTGAGTAGGACAATGGAGGTTGAATCGAAGAAGCCGGAAGACACCGAGTTAGATATTAAGCGGGCGATGCGAGCCCGTGTGAAGGATTTCAAGGAACAAGCGGAGTAAGATGCCGTTCTCCCAATATCTTCCTTCTTTCTTCCAATTCCCTGTTGGTATTTTTCTCTCGTAGTTTAGCAATAGCGGTGGGAGTCTTTAGGATTTTTTGGGATTGTTGGCCCATTTGTTGGAGTTTGCTTTTAGCTGCTTTGAGCAGTAGTGCTGTTATTTTCGGCTGCAGTCATATTTTTCTTTTTAAATTTTAATGATGATGTGTTATGTGATCTAGAATACATAGCTTTTTAGGGTTTATTTGGGGGTTTGTTTGCATGTTGTTAGGTTTTTAGGTTGAGCTGGTTTTTGCGACTTATGTTCCTTTATTGAGAGTTGAAGAATATGTTTTATTACCTGAAATTAATTTCAGCGGCTTCTTGCTGGTTCTAAACTTATTGTAGGAAACTTTGACTTTGGTTTCTGGGAAGAAGGTTTTATTTAAGAGAAGATTTAGATTAGACTGTTATTGTTTTGGTGTAGAATTTTCAAGATGCTTGCACAGCTGTGGTTCTGGAAGGGGTTTATGCAGACAACTTAACTCTGCATAAAGAGCTTATTTGCTTGGCATCGCTTTTTAGTTTCAATGTCACACTGGGCAACCTAGAATTTGTTCTAGGCCTGCTTTCTATTTGGATTTTGACTCAATAATTCTCATGGGATAAACGCGTGATTCATGATAGGCGGATTAGCGGCGAAAATTATATGAATTGGTTGTGTTACGATCCAACCTCAAAATTGGCGTGTTTTTCCAAAAAAAATATTGCAAACATAATTTTTCTTCACTAAATCAAATAACTCAACAAGAGAATAAAGGATACATACCTGCGATTTGAGAGGTAAACGATCTCTCCTAATTCCTACAATTCGAGAGGTAGGAAATCTTTCGCAGAACCTCTACCGAAGACTCACAACTCAATCTCATGCATAAACCTAACTCTAGATATAACAAGTCTATTTATACCCAACAATAATAATAATAAAACACTAAACTGTCTTAGGTGTACAAAAGACAATTTTGCCCTTAGGCTAGGCACCCTCGTAACAATAACCCCCCCCCCTCCCCCCCTCACCCCCACTCTAAAAAAAAAACAAGACACCATGTCCTTAAAGTGGGGAAAAAAATGTGGGTGCTCCTCCTCCCCCGCCACAGTCTCAATATTTTCATTTTTTGCTTGCTTGTCTTGCATTATGAGAACTTGTAATCTTCGATCCTTGCAAAAATGTCCTCGGCAAACTTCTCATCACACCAAAACCACAACCCATTGACTCGCTTCTCCTGAATCTCTGTCACTATAAGAACTCGAGTGTTGCTTCCATGGTCCATTATTGTTGTCCCATTCAGCTTCCTTATGGACTTACACTGTCTGAACTTTTGGCATCGTCGTGGTTGCAACAGTTCCGTACGACGTTCCATCTGTGTTGCTCATGTTGGCTTTCTTCATCTGGTTCTTGTTTTCCATCGTCTTGGCTAGCTCCATCATCTTCCTCTATCCCCATAGTCTTAGTAATCAAAGTGTTGCATGTATGTCGGGCTTTAAGCCCTACATGAAATTCCCCTCTAGTCATGCTTCAAAAATCCATCATAGTCGTTCGGACAATAGTCAAATCTCTCTCTATATTTCATGATCATCCCCTCCTGTGTCAAAACATAGAATTACTCGTGTAGGTTTCTTTCCCGAATGACTCCTAAATGTTCCAATAAACAATCCAAAAATCCAATGCCTTATCATTTTAGTGCGGACACTAAAAAAAACGAAGATCGTTCTGTGAACTGGGTACACATTTTCCTTATTATTAATTGTTTTTATCTCGTGAATTTTAAGATGTGTTTTTCAAACTTATCATTTGCTTAGCAATTATAATATTGAGATATTTAATTAAATTAAACAAACGATTAAAAAACGTAACGATTTGACTCAATTTGCAAGTAGCAAACTAAACCAGAAAGATACGAGGAAAAGACAAAATTGAGGACCTAGTGCAGACCCTACACAACATACAACGTTCAGGTGGAGCTAGTCTACCAACACACCTATCGGGGGTCCGACCCCATACAAAAATAAAGTCCTAATGAACTTCTGAACCTCTCTGTTCTAAGGTGAATGAACAGACGGTCCTGAAGTCCGAAAGAGTTGACCATACTTACCCAAGAAAGAAATGGGTGAAGCATGGTGAAGCATGTCAACTGTCAACGGAAGAAGAGTAATTTGGTTCATGAGGGACATGAACACATTACCAATATATGAAGACAATATTCCCTGATTTAAATGGAGAGATAAGCTAATCCCAGCGGAGTCGCCAGAATTTGTCGGCGCTAAAAGGGGGTAAAGTTGAAAGGTCAAAAGAGGACAAAGTTGGGGGGTTGCCCGTAAAAAGCTGTCGGTCGCTGGAAGTGAAGTCCCGCCGCCCGCTTCGGAAGGAAGTTTAATTTACATACATATATATAAGTTTTTAAAAAAATATGAAATCAAACTGACCTCATATTTTTCACAGTTTAAATGAAAGAGCGCTCTACCTCAAATCTTGTATCTATCCCGAGGGATAAACACAAGACTTGAGGATGAGACTCGATCAAATAAACTAAGAAATATATGACATCCGTTTGGTCTGCGAAACCGTTTTATTTGCCGACTG